TATAATAAATTATATAAAAAAACAAATAAGAACATGATAGTCGGGCAAGGCCGAGCATTAAATACCCAACACCACATTATCTAGCACAATTCTTATTTTTATTATAGAACATAAAAATTACATCTTGTTTCTACATAAAGGCATATTTTCCAAGTCCATGTTTATGGGGAAGTGGGCCCAAAACACAACTAATCCTTATACAGGATAGGATTCAAAAATAGATGCAGGTGGTCCAAATTTTGTAGAGTTCTTTTTTATATAAAATTATTAATATGGGTCGATTTTCCTTCCTTATTAGGGTGGAATCCAAAAAATATGCCGAGATAATCCAAATTTAGTACAATTAAATTATACCTTTTTGCCATATGAACTTCAGTTTTCCTTCTCTTAGAGGGGCTTCAAAAATTGCCACAGATGGTCTGAACTTTTCATACCAACTTCGGATGCCGGGTTACTACTGCTTAGCTACTTTTGTCGAGAAATTTTGAAAAATGCAATTTTTTTTTCACGTTACGACTTTCCAGAATAGGGCGTTATATGGGGAGTGGTCGAAAAAGTGTACTGATCCGAACCATTTTCAATAGCGTTCGTTCTCTGGTCAAAACAAGTCACAGTACCAAATTTCATCAAAATATCTCAAAAATTGCAACTTGTAGCTTGAACACAAATATACATAGATAGACATCAGACGGACGGACAGGCTTAAATCAATTTAGATTATGATTCTAAATCACTCGGTATAATAAAAGATGAGTCTACCGTAAGCCCTTCCGCGTGCTACATACGTCTGCACTAACTTAATATACCACAAGTAGTATAGCGTATAATAAAAATTTAATACCAAAAGTGTATATCTTTTTAATGTTGTTAAGAATTTCTATAAAATCTTTCAAAAATTATTCCTCTTAAAATTAATTTATTAAATTATCTCTGTTTTGAAAACTGAACTGAAAATTATTTGTATAAGGCTCGTCCCGCAACCCAATATCACATAAATGCCTTAAAATTTAATTATGAATTTGATATTTTAAAATGCATCTCCTACTCTTTTGTGATTGTTAATGATTGTTAATGAGTTTATAAAACCTTTTATAAAGTTCAAAATTCTCTCATAAAGAGCTTTCAAATACATTTGAAGAATGTAAGTGAAAACTACTGACGCCAGCAACGTGAGCAAAATTTAAAGCAAATATTCAAAGATAAACATGAAATCCGATAAACTTTTAACCAAATAATCAAGTTTCATAAAGCCAGTAATTATGAATGCATGTACGTCAAGGATGTCCAATTAATGATTCAAACACCAATAATTGAAAACATTATTCAGATACTATTGGGAGACTAACTGTACAGCAACATGAATTAGATTAAAAAATGGAATTTTGTAATTCTTTAAAACCTGCAAAGCCAAATGATATAAGTGAAAAATAAGTTGTTAAAGTTCAAAAGAAATAAATACATAATAATAGTTGGTCTTAACAACTCGGAAGTCTTTTCGTTTGGGACTTGTAAGCAAAGCATAGCTCGATACATTTTCTTGATAAACAAGTGAAGACGCTATAGTGTGGCCCAGCATAAAATGCCTGACACTATCCTATATTTATTCATACAACGACTTTGCAAAATGCGGCTCTATATGGCAAGTAACTTGATCTAAACCATTTTTGATAACTTTCTCGGGCCAAAACACGCCAGTGTAGCAAATTTTGTCAAAATACCTGACAAATTGCGCTCTTTATATGTTGAACACAAGACGGACAAATGGACTGACAAATTTATAGGGGTTCAGAAAGTAATTCTGGATCGATCGGTATAATAAACAGTGAGTCTGTTCCGAGTCCTCCTTGGCAGCACAAACATTGCTACCTTGAACAAAAGCGAACAAGATAGACGGGCGGAATCAGGGACAGACAAGGTTAGATCGTTGTAACATAGGTGGGTCTACGTTAAGTCGTTCTGGGTTTTGCATACACCTGCACAAATTTAATATATCCTCCTATGTGAGTTGAGTGAGGTATAAAAATGGAATAATTTTCTTAAATTTCTTGCTTAAGCAGGGGCCTGTTCTATGATTCTCCAAATCGAATGAATTCGGTCGTAATGTTTACGTTCGGATTTATATTTCTCGATCTATCGAGTAGTGAGAGACTTTACGCCAGTCGATACAGTATACATTTCTCTTACTATCGAGTGACAAATTTCTCGGTCATTTAAAGCTACTATCGAGTAACTAACAAATTAGGGGAAAAAGAAGGGGAAATGATAAGACACATATTCCATACGATTAATGGATGTAAAGCGCACCAAGTATTATTTATTAATAATGGAAATTCGAAATTGCTTGAAAACACAAATAATTATTCTCATTACTGCTGAAAGAAAGAGATGAAAGATTACTAAAGAATATCTATTAAGTACTGCCAAGATGTGTATATACATGCATCCCATAAATTGAAAAATAATATGTTTGGATTATTGTTTTCCTTATTCAATTACTTATTTTCTTCTTGCCCTTTGTCTTTATTTGTATGTATATGTATGTTGTTCACACACAGCCGATAGCACAAATACAACCTTGTTCATCTTTTAACTGTTTAGATTCGACTAAAGCCGAGCTGTATAACACAAAACGATAGTAACGAATATGACTATAGCATTAAGTACACAATCGATATTGAAACAGGGCCGTCTTCCCAATTAAATCACATGATTTGTATGGTATCTTTATTTCCGATTTTTAAGTTTTTGTTCAAATTAACGACAAAAAATTATTAAAGTTAATCCTCTTAAGATAAGATATGCTGTCCTGTAAGCAATTTTGATTATCTCCCTCGATGATTTTAATATGTCAGCAAGGTCATAACTGTATAGGTTTTACGTTTTTATATTTATATCTTTTTATGGGAGAATCGCTAAGTGAGTTCTGCAAAGTTTTTTGAAGTAATTGCATAGCTTCCAGGCCGGCGTGGCCTCCTCTGCGACACCTAAGCATCTGTCTAGTTCGTCTGGAACTCCGTTGTAGGCGGTTATGGCGGTGGCGCTAATCACCATGTTGAAACTTGTCAGCAGGCTACGTTCATAAGCTTGACAAAGTCCCTTGTCTTTCAAATATGATGGCCAAGAACAATTAAGAATGCTATATTGGGACAGGGCCGAACCTTCGATACACGACCCCACTTTGTCACGATCTGCAGAACACTCAAACGGCCAGGCGGTCTAAATGTAGTAAACTTAATTTAGATTTTAGTGTTTTCCAATTGCTTCCGTAATAACAAAGGCTTAATTGCGATAGAATGTATATGGTGGAGTTTAAAAAATAGATTTTCGTGATCCAAACACCAATAGTTGATTTACCAAGCACAAATTTTCATCGTAAAATATAAAAAATTAGATTTTTTTGCTATATTAAGCCTTAGATTTCCTTAGAACCTCTTTATGGGTTGGGTTCCAAAAAATAGACCTGCATGATCCAAATTTGGTAAAGTTAATTTTTATGTCAAATTATTGTTATGAAAGAAATCTGATTAAGAAGCCTTGAAAATTCGACTTCTTGCTATATAAAGATTTACTTTTCGTAGAAACGATTATATGGCAAGGGATTCAAAAAACGGTCCTATTCGATTCAAAGGTTTCACAACAATTTAGAATGCCAAAGTGCTATCACTAAACCGGTTTTGCCGCGAAATTCTGAAAATTATTCTGAAATTATTTTCTCTTCTAATAACTTGTCAAAATAAGGCGCTATGTGGGGAGTGATTAAAAAGACCATTTCAATAGCGTTCGCGCTTGAGCCAAAATACGTCAGTGTATCAAATTTGATCAAAATATGCCGAAAATTTATAAACAGACAACAAAGAGACAGACGGAGACACAGGCTTAGAATCATTTTCAATGAAAAGTGGATCTAATTCAAGTCCTTCTGGATGTTACAACCGTCCGCATGAACCTAATATACCCTCTACCACAAGTGATGTGATGTGGAATGCATAATTTATAAATATATGCGATGCATATGTTCATACGTCAGACTATATAATGTGCAGTGCATATGCTAACCGAGCAGGCCCCTACGGTGGATTGAAGGTTCGACATAATTCCTATGCCTATTCATTTGCACACAAGCACACATACATGAGCGTTTTTTCTTGTTTTCTGCAATCGATATTCAAAAATGTTGAAGATTGTTTTCTCATAATCTGTTTTGCCTTAAATTGAAATATTTTAAAAAGTCCTTAATAAAGATTTTATTGCTTACTCAACTCAAATCGAAAATTTTGCGAGAGAATATTGCAATTGATTCCTATGTAGACATAAATATGTACATTTTAAATAATTTATTATACAAAACATACAATTCCTGAAATGTTTGTGTCTTTGTTCCATCTTACGAATTTTGTTGAAATATATCTTAAAAAGCCATAGACTTTACAAATTATTTTACGAACTCTGAGCACACATTTAAAGGATTGATTTATTAATAAATTATTAGATGATGTGATATTATTTGCAAAATATTTAAAAAGAAAAAGAATAGAATTTGATAAACATATATCTCTCTCTCATATATTATCACATCACGTCATCATATTGTGCAACTGTCCAGTTTGTCTGTGCGTAACACAAATGTTGCATTTTGTTACTGATGTGTAACCAATAAAGTAAATTATAAACGGTAAGATAAATCTTTTGCAAATATTTTCAGTTTGTTAATTGTTTTATATAAGCCGAGTGTTATATGCAACCTTTCAATTCTTAATCCTTTCACATAAGAGAGATTGCATAAAATTGTATTTTATATTTGAAGTCTTCCGGAAGAAAAGTCAAATAAAAACTAAACCACTTTTTCGACATATTCCAATTACTTAAGTTAAATATATTTTTCAGTTTTTTTTTTTTTTTTTTTAATTTTTTTTTTTATTTTTTTTTTCATTTTTTTTTTTTTTTTTTTTTTGTTTTTTATATACAATCGAAAGATGTACAAATCTTTTGTTTGCTAAAAGAAAAAAAACACTTTAAAAACTTAAACAAGAAAAAGAACAATAAAATATTAAGTGGAATAATAACGCCTATGATTCATGTTTATGGACAAAGGAAGCCATAAAATCAAATAAAAGTTTTCTCTGTGATTTGTGAGACGGGATTGGTTTGGTGCTTACTGCTGCAAGAAATACTGTAATCATAACGAGATAATAAACTAATCTTCCAAATTTCTAAAGGCTTGTTGCAAGTCCTCATACAATTGTTCAAAGTCGGCTTTGATCTTTGCTTCTCCATCTTTGACGGGGTCCTATGTTAAAAGAAATTGGATAATTCGAGACCCATTTTCCACAAAATTGGAATTTTCTTCTTTCGATGCTTACCTTAAATTTCATAGAGGACAATTGATACATATTATTGCCCATGGCTTCGCGTATAACATTCCAAGTGATTTTATTTTCCGATTGTGCCGTCGATTCCACGGAATGACGAGCCAAATCATAAAACGCAATCATATTCTTTAGCATGCCCACCGTTTTGTAGAAGGGACAGAAACGATCATAGGATGAATAAGAGTTTTGTTGTAGAAAGTCGTCTTTCAGCAGCTTGGCGACTTCCAAAGTAATTTTATCGGATTCTGCTAGCGAGGCCTTACCAACCAATTGCACAATTTCCGAAAGATCTTCCTCCTCCTGCAAGATTTCTTTCACCTTGGTACGCAACGGTACAAATTCAGGGAAATTCTTATCATAGAAGTCGTCCAGGGCGCGCATGTATTTTGAATAAGAAATCAACCAATTGATCGAAGGGAAATGTTTGCGTTGAGCCAACTTCTTATCCAAACCCCAGAACACTTGGACAATACCCAAAGTAGCGGAAGTAACGGGATCCGAAAAATCACCACCAGGTGGTGAGACAGCCCCGACAATAGATACTGAACCCTCACGTTCAGGATTACCTAAACATTTGACGCGCCCAGCACGCTCATAAAATGAAGCCAAACGAGCTCCCAAGTAGGCGGGATAACCAGAATCGGCAGGCATTTCAGCCAAACGTCCTGAAATTTCACGCAAAGCCTCAGCCCAACGGGAGGTGGAATCGGCCATCATGGACACATTGTAACCCATATCACGAAAATATTCGGATAAGGTGATACCCGTATAAATGGAAGCTTCACGAGCAGCTACAGGCATGTTAGATGTATTGGCCACTAAAGCAGTACGCTTCATAATAGATTCGGTAACGCCGTCAATTTCAACCGATAATTCGGGAAAATCGCGCAAGACTTCAGACATTTCATTGCCACGTTCACCGCAACCCACATAAATAATAACATCCGAATTTGAATATTTCGATAAAGCCTAAAAAACCAACAAAGGGAATTAACACCGACAGCGTAGTAGCACCATTAAAATGCTTACTTGTGATATTACAGTTTTACCACAACCGAAAGCCCCGGGAATGGCAGTGGTGCCACCTTGTACGCAAGGGAATAAAGAATCCAATACCCGTTGGCCCGTTAGGAGAGGATGATTGGCTGGTAACTTTTCGGCTACTGGCCGAGGTTGACGCACTGGCCAAACTTGCAACATGGTATGCTTTGTAACTTCACCATCAAATTCCGTTTCTAGGACGATATCTTCCACAGTATAATTACCAGCTGGTGCTATGTAACGCACCGTACCCTTGCCACGAGGATTAACAATCATTTTATGTTTCACCAATGTATTCTCATGAACGATGCCGTACACGTCACCTCCCGTTATATGGGAGCCAACTTTAACATTTAAAGGATTGAATTCCCAAGATTGTTTACGTGCTAAGGAGGGTACATTAACACCCTTCGGAATGTAAATGGAACTGGTTAGTTCGTTAATATCCTTTAATGGACGTTGGATACCATCAAAAATGCTACCCATAATGCCAGGACCTAGTTCAACTGACAATGGTTTACCCGTTCTTAAAACGGGATCACCAACTGTAACGCCAGAAGTTTCTTCATACACTTGAATAGTAGCCATGTCACCCTCCAAACGGATAATTTCACCCACTAATTCATAATAACCGACACGAACCAGTTCGTACATAGCCGAACCAGACATCCATTCGGCCGTGACGACTAAAAAAAAAAAAAAATTAATAACACAAACACGTAGTTACTATTTCAAGACTTTAAATAACTTTTAGTAATTTTTCGTTTGTCTTACCAGGACCGGAGACAGCAAACACTCGTCCAAATTTGGATTCATGTTCTTCATCATCGAACATTTTAAGGTTGGACATTTTGCAGGCTTTTTTGTGCAAACTTGTTTATTTTAATGGAATGATCGGAAATTTTCTAAAGAAAATCAAAATATTTTATCAATTAATTTATTTAAAAAGTATATTTTAAAGAAAGCAAAGTTTCAACATTAAATTTTGCTTTCTAAATACAAAGTAGTTTTTTTTCACTTGTCAGCTGACTTCTCCCTCCCATATTAGATCATTTGATAAAAGTTAATCAATTTCGTGATAGTAAAAATTATAACGAATCTTTTTCCCACTTGGATTGTTAATGCATTTACACGTCTTCTTATAATTCTACTATAATAATTTTTCTTCATTTATTTACTTTTTGACTTATATGTCTTAATTTATGTAAATTATTTCTAATCGAATTAATTTCTCTCCACAAAACTTAAAATATTTCTTAGCCGAACGATGATCAACGATTTAATATGATATTGCTGCGTTTTCTGTATTCGGCTATAGAGTTTGCAGAAGAAAAAAGCTTTTATTTCACGTGACATTTGGAATTGTTAGTCATTTCCAATAACTGGATTTACTTTAAGAAACAGAGTTGCCAAATATTTATTACTAGCAGTGATCGTTTTATCGTTTGTGTATTTATACGAAATTAGCTTCGGGACTGTTTTGTTTTCAAATCAATAATAATTATGGCAAAAAAGAGGAATGTTTACATATATTTATATATGTATATATGTAGATTTTTTGTTACTCTGTTCTTCAATCGGTGCATACAAACATATACAAACTCAATGCTTAAAAGTTGACGTCACACTTTAGAGGTATTTATTATACAAGTAGCTTTTTGATAAGCTTTTTATTTTATAAAAAGTCATGTTTTTACTGCTATCTCGTTGTGTTAATGAAACCAAGAAAACAAATTTTCATTAAACCTTCTCAATATATATTATGACTGTAAGATATTATTCAAAAACTTTGCAAATGCTTTTCTAGTTTTCGATATGTATGTGTACTACTCTTTCAACGTTAACAGAATATTGAGACCATATTTACATCGTAGTGTTACTGCTATCTTTTCGTAATAGTGAGAGCGAGAAAGCAGAAATGTATTAAACGTTTTCAATGCATTTTAGATAAAATGCTTTATCGGCTGTATAATGTACGAGATTGATAATAAAATGAAAGTATTTTCTCTAAGCTATGCTAATAGTAAATTCTTTACGATATCAGAAACAGGTAAATGACAATATGAAGCAGCATTTATTTCAAAATTCAAGCTCGGAGATTATTACGGACTTTTTGTGTTTCTGTTATCAATAATAGTAGCAGTGCTATAAATTAACAGCCATTTGACGGCTTGGTCTCTCATTCACATTATTTTCGTGCATAAAAATTCTCCTAATGATTTCTTGATACAACACACACATTCTCTCAAACGTCAGCAAAACAGTAGCATATTGTTGTAAGCATAATTTATCTTTATCTAATCTAATCTACTCAATATATATATATTTATTAATTTTATATGCTTAGGCGTATATTTGATATATTTCTACAATTTCCCACATCACATACGAGTGAGTGATAGTAAACGAAGCGTTACTTATTAATTTTTAGGATATATTCTACAATGTTTTAAAATATTGTATATTAGTCTAGAATACTCTGGAATTGTTTCAAATTTCTTCATTGCATTAGTTCATTGATATCTATTGAAGCAATTGCTGTACATAAAATTTAGACTTTTTGACTACCAAATAAATGATAAGAGAAAAACAAATTATCATTTGTTATTTTTCGTTCATAACACTTATATATAAACTATAGCGTGTATTCAATTAAAAACACACGTCTGCTTTGAGGGATTGCGATGTTATATCAAGAAACTATTAACAGAATCTTTGCCCACACAAGAAATGAGAACAAAGGAGCAAGAAATCAAATTGCTGCTAATGAACAGCGTTACTACTGTTATTGATAACCGCAACCCAAAGAGTTTGTAATAATCTTTTAGTTTGAGTTTTACAGAAAACGTTGAAACATCTTGTCATTTAGTTGTCTCTGATAATAACATTAACAAGACCTTGTCGAGATTTTGCTGCACATATTATCGAAAAAAGCTGTACATTTTTTTCTATTTATTGAAATGAAATATTTTTCAAAATGAACAGAATATTAAGAACTTATTTATATCCCACTGTTATTACTATGTGTTCGCATTAGCGAGAACAAGAAAGCAGAGCTGCATTAAAGGTTTTGAATGCACATTACCACGAAATTGGACAAAGTGCATTATCGGTTGTATATGATATATGAGATCGATAACAAAATGAAAGGATTTGCTGTAAGTAAATTCTTGATACTAAAAGGATACTTTGCAAGTCTTAAATGTGTTACATTATAACATAAATCGAAAAATTCTATAAATTCTTCTCCACCCTATGAAATGAAATGCCTTTTCAAAGTTAACAGAATATTAAGACCCATATTGGCACCCAAAAAACAACAAAACAAAACAAAATAATTTGCTTACTCTATACACAACAAAACGTGCATTTTTATTATTTTTTCAAATGTTAGCCAGATGCAGTAGTTAGTGGCAATAACAACCTACATTTTGTACCGATAAATCATACTAGAGTAAATTTATTGCAATTCCTATAAAGCGGTGTTACACTTGTATAAACTCTTTTTTTTTCTGTTTTGTTTTGTTTTTTTCAATGAAATTTTCAAAAACTAACTTTAGTAACGTAACCCGACAGATATATTGATCCTCATATTTTGTTTTCAAAAAAGTCATAAATATTTGTTAGCAAAGCTTGGCTATGACAAATATTTATTTAACCAAAAAAAAAAAAAAAAAAATTTTTATTTTTTAATCTTATACCTGCAAAAGTCTACATTGTTGGTTATGTTATCTCTAGGCACTATGTCCTCTAGTTTGACAAAATACAAAAAGGGCGCAGAGTAATTTTTCCAAGTGCCGAAAGAAAGTTTCAAAAAGTGGTCTTTTTTAGTTTAGTACAATGTGTATACATACAGCTTTATGTTTTTATGGGTGTAGTTTTGTAGTTCTATGATGCGCACGTAAATTGCTCAGTTATATTTCAAGCTTTATAAAAGTTTTTATATTACGAATTTTTATTCTTGAATTACGGAATAATGCTTAAGCTACCGGAAGTATTCGGTATGCATGTAAATGCACTTAGGAACTGTGCACGAGTACGTACATCCTTCTGCATACACACTTCTGGACGTAAACTTTTTGAATGTGTTTTACTTTTTGTATAAACCAAATATAGTTCTTTGCATAAATTTGCTTAAAATATATATAAAAGATACAAAAAAAATTTAAGGGACTTACTCTAATTCTAATTTAAATCTTTTTTAAGCGCCCACACACAACAGCTTGAAACTGAAAAACGTAACAGCCATCCATTGAAATTATTAACAACAAAAAAAAAATGTAAATAATTTTCACATCGTTTTTGGACTAACCTCGCAGTTTGCCTTCCATCATAGTTGCGAATTAACATTCATACTTGATTTTAAGTCCGTCTTATCATCTTACATATATACATGTAAGTGCTAGGGAAAGTACGTTGCCAAGGGGGGCGCGCCAGTTGCCAGACCAAAATCGTTTTTGCACAGAGCGTTAAAAGGTGGGTCTTCCACAAATTTATGTTTATTACACGGACGACTCAAAATGCGTAAAGACTTTTAAGAGGATGACATACATTATGGCGGCTCGAAGATTTAACACTGATGGGGCCACGCTGCCATGTCATCTCCTTATTTAGTTTTTCGATTGGTTTTGTCTCTCTGTCCCATTTTCATCCTTTAAAAGTCTTTTTTGAATTTCCCACCTTCCATTTCATGATTTTAACGTTAATGTCAAGGCCAGATGATGTATTGTATCACAGCATCAATTTCTTCATTTTACTACCGGCGCGAGTTTCTTTCTTATAGCTTCGATATTGCTTAGTAAATGATGTCTACCGTGTCTCTACTATTGAACAAACCCTAATGTCATCCCCTAGCTTTGCTTGGCAATTGTGCATGTATGACTGTTTAGAATAAGGCTTCAGTGTCATATATGTTCATATAGCTTCATATAGCTTCGATATTCACACAGCTTCGACATTGCTTAGTAAATCTCTACTATTGGAGAAACACCGATGTCATATTTGCTTGGATACTGTGCGCGTATGACTCTTTGGAATAAGGCTTTAGTGCCTTCTTCTTTGATAAATTAGAAACTTTCTCTCCCTTTGAGAGTCAAAGCTTTATGGGAGTAGACAAAATTTAGAGTGGTACCCACGGTAAAGAAAATGGAAATCGTTTATTTTCAGACCGAAATTTTCGAGTAGTTTTCAAGTAACTCTTTCAAACACTGAATAAGAGAAAGTGTTTCTTAATGCTCGCTATTTCCAACAAAAAAGATCAAAAAGGTATATTCAAAACCGAACTTTTAAAACAATTGCGGTAATGACCTTAACAAAGTATGCGAACAGAGCGATAACGCTAGGCGATACGTACAAAAGGCCACTTGCCTTCGGCTTCATTTTAATAGTTGTAACGTTTCTAAACCCACAGGCATTGGCAACGGTAACAAACGAATATTTTGCAAAACTGTAAACCTCGTGCCGAAACATATCAAATTTGTTGCTTGCAAGTATATAAAATGAAACAAAAACTTGTAAATTGTATTTATTATCGAGCGTATATGTATGCATATATATGTCAATATGTACACACATATGTATATCCCGGATGCATCATGTGGGCAATTAAAACCAATACTTTGCTTGCAATGTTTTTGTTGGTGTTTTTAAAAAAAACAAATTTTCATTTCTATTTTATGTGTGAGTACAACGGCACACATTGTGTGCGTGTGCGTGTGCGTGTGCTTGTGTACGTGATAAAAGTAAACATTTTAAAAACATTTTATATTTTACAAATGTAGTACGAAAACTTTTTAAAAATTTAATAAAACAATATTTAAATATGTACATATGTATGCAGTTTACATTATAAATAAATTATTTATTTTCCGTTGGCGTTTATGCAGTGCATGCGAGCTTATGTGGAATTTGAAATATCCGAAGGCGCTTATGAGATCTCATGTCCGGATAGTCAATGTCCGGCCCAAGGTGTTATGACATTGCCAGAAATCGCTCACCTTACAACCAGCAATTTAATGAAAAAACATCATCGTTATCGTTTAAATCGAGGTAAGAGAGAGACAGAGATAAATAGAGAGAGAGAGAGAGAGAGAGAGTGAACTTTAATGAAACCAAGAATGATACAAAAGAGGAAAATTTTTATCATTTTTTTAATTAATAGAAATTGAATTGGATAAAACTCGTACCTGGTGTCCACGCGCTGGATGCGAGACAGTTTGTCTGATTGGTACTAATCATCCACAGCAGCAGCAGCAGCAGCAGCAGCAGCAACAGCAACAGCAGCATTCTGACTCTTTACCTTCTACGTCAAATGCGCCAAATGCTTCCGTATCCTCTAGTTTTGGCATCGTTAGCAACGAGTTAAATGGCAAGAACAGTGACACGCTGAGTGCAACTACTCCGTTGTTATGTGCCGTTCAGTGTCCTTCGTGTAAAGATGAATTTTGTTCTGCTTGCAAAAAGGCGGTAAAGAAGCATGCAACGACTACATTTTATTACTTCTTTAATTAAATATTAATCTATGTCATTACATTTTTCGCTTTTTCACATTAGTGGCATCCGAATATTACTTGCGAGGAGCATAGCCGCCGTTTGGTAGCAGATGGCCAAGATGATATTGGCATACCTTTCGATAATGACCTTATAAAATGTTGTCCCATGTGCGCTGTGCCCATTGAGAAGGATGAAGGCTGTGCTCAAATGATGTGTAAACGATGCAAACATGTTTTCTGTTGGTATTGTTTGGCTAGTTTGGATGTAAGTTAAAATTCTATGACTTTTACTCCTTTTTTTTTTTTTGTTTTCTTTTTTTTCTTTACATTTAAAAGGAGAAACTTTTTACCTTCTGTTTTAGGATGACTTTTTGTTACGGCATTACGATAAGGGACCATGTAAAAATAAACTTGGACATTCCCGTGCTTCGGTGGTATGGCATCGAGCTCAAGTTATTGGCATTTTTGCCGGTTTTGGTATTTTATTATTGGTAGCGTCGCCATTACTATTACTGGCGGCTCCATGTATTATCTGCTGTAAATGTCGCAGTTGTAGTGGCTCCAAAATTGACGAGGGCGATGGTGAAATGGATGAAGCTACAGCCTTGCAAAGGTAATACAATAAAGCATGTATTAATATTCTTTCAATTTTGCAGCTTTGTAGCCATTGCTGTATATGACGGTGAAATTAAAGCATTTGTAGTAAATTACGGAAAAATTGTATGATAGTTGGCTTAACGCTGATGCCTCAGATATCCATATGCTCTCATTTTTAAGAGAATGCAGCGTGTCCCATAATTAGCGCAGCCTTTTGAATTAAAGAGAAAGCAGAGTTATTTCCTTTTAATTGTAATTCTTTTATTGAATCATATTTGTCTCTAGCATAGGGTTCTGTGCGGAATAACAAATCGGGCAAATGGTGACACATATTTTCCATTACCAAATTGCCTAAATGTGGCTGACTTTGGTTGAATCTGCGAAAATGTGTTCCTCTCTCCCGTGTGACGCTTACTGCCAGCATACTTAGCAAAGAAAAGAATGAAATTTCCCGTAATATAGAAGAGTAAAGAAAGCAAAAAAGATTGCCTGAAATTAATAAAGAAGGCCAAAATCATAAGTTTCTTCTTCCTTTAATAGTCAATAATCACTTTTTATATATCCACGTTTCTTAACTTCTCAAAGTTCAGCCACATGATTATAGTCCAAAATTAATTACTTTATGGTTATATAGTTCACTCTTAAATGAAATGATCTCGTGAAGCCATTAGAATAGCCTTAATGTAAGCACTATTCTATAAGTCACCTTGATCACCAAAATATCTGTTCACGAAAACCGTTAAAGTGAAATGCGATCAGGAGTCAGTTCACGGCGCTCGTTATAGAGGAAATTCAATTGCATCCGTTAACAAACACTTGTTGACGAGAATTCCGTTGATGGTACTAGATAGCTTATGACTGTTTGCTCAATATCGAGCGTAAAATGTCACAGTATAACTCGAACCGAAATAGCTATCGAGCGTCATGTTTAAAGAGATATAATAAAGTAAAATATTGGTAGAAAAGAAAATATTTGATAAAATTAGGAAAATAGGAAGATTACTTAATCTCAGAAATACATCTAATTCACTTTTTACACGATAGCTATGTTCCTAAAAGATTCGTGTAAAAAAAGATATTAGCGAAATGGAAAAATAGCAGATTGCAGATTACCAAAAAAACTGAAAATTATAATAAACAATATTGAAAAATTCTTTTCCGCATTCATTTAAGATTTTATTTCGTGGTTACACACTTCAATTTATTATATATATTTTAAAAAATAACTTATACTCCGTAAAACCAAACTAAAAAATACATTATACGCCTAATTCGGGGAATCCCGCTCATATATATGCATATAATCCCACATAATTTAATTGAATTGTGAACCATGTAACGCGAAGTTAACAATGGATATTCGTGAGGAGTGAGAATGAAAAAATTCACAAAATACTGAAAATCGTGTTAAAACAAAATAGTTCGTGTAAACAGAGAATTAAAAGGGATGCGGTCAAATGTTGGCAAAAATAATAAAAGCAAATAATGGTGTGGTAAAGTATGGAAAGGGATAAAAGACACGTGGATTAACAAAAAATTTCTAGAAACGATGAAAAGTGCATTACTAGAAGCGATTTTAAAATTATTCTGCAAACGTGACATTTAAGATCTGTTTGTGGGGTATATAGACAGGCAAATTTCAAATAAACGTCAACCTAGATATTAAGAAAAACAATAATATTACATACAATTCACAAATAAGACTTAAGTTTAATAACTTTCTTTTATATATATACTTTTTTTTTTTTTTTATAGACAACAATTTTCTCGCCAATTTCTTCTTTAAATTTTATATTTTCTTCGTTTATGTATTTACTTTTCTTCCCCTTCTTTGCATTATTTTGTTATACACCCACCGATATCACAAATATTCCGTTGCAAATGCAACCAACAGGAATCCCTACTCGATAAGAAATCGAATACCATCGAGTACCAACCGAGTATCATCAATCCGAACTGCGGTCGTATCGTACGATAACTCGACAACAAGAACCGTAAACCTAACTAAGGAGCAAAAGTTAAATTTTGACAAATTGAAATAACTTTAAAACACTTCTCTCACAAGATGCTCTTAGATAACTCCTGAAAGTTCTCAATTTTAATCGAAATCTCGTTACAATAGGTCTCTTAATATTTAATACAATTTATCTTTTACTAGTCCAGGAATATTTTAAATAATCTTAGTGTTCAGCAATATTTCACAACGGTATTGATAATTTTCTAATTTCTCTCTAAAATTTATCCTGAATGCTTTGTGAGCTTTTGTGCCTTGTAATAAATTGATTTGTCGGTTTATCGCTAGTTTATGACAGAATCTTTGCGATAGTTTTTCTCACTTATTTGCATGCGATATTTTTTCCATACCCTACACCACTTTTAATATAAGGACGTATTAAATACATGCGGGTGTATCAACTACCCAGAACGACTTGAGGTAGATTTGTTTTGCCGATCTAAGCTTGTCTATCCGTCTGTCCGCCCGCCTGCCTTGTTTTCCTTTATTCATGGTAACAAATTTTACGATATTTTGAAGAAAGTTGATATACTAACGTGTTTCGGGCTAACGGTCAATGGTATAGAGTATTTAATGTTGATATAGTTTCTTCACTCGTTAGAGAATAAAAATTTATAAAATTTATTATCTCTTTTTAGTTTAAATTAAACAAAAAAGAAAAGAATAACGACTGGTACTAAAGTGAAAAAAACTGTGGAAAGTAATGTGAAAATGTAAATTGAAGCAGCTAAACTAAATGAAATAATAATAAGCAAATATGTAATAAAAATTATATAGTGGATAATAATAATAATGCAAAAAAAAAAAAAAAAAAAAA